CATTGCTCCTGAGTTGAAAAATTTGATTGAGAAAGCGGGGTTTGAAGATGTCACTGAAAAGGTATATCTGGTACCACTGGGGCCATGGCCAAAGGATCAGAAATTGAAGGAGCTCGGAAAATGGGTTTTTGTTTCGACTCAAGAAGCCGTTGAAGCTTATGGTCTCCGCCTATACACACAAGTCCTAGGCTGGTCTCCTAACCCTGCCCGGATCCATTTTGCGCTTGTGAAAGCGCAGCTCGGAGATCCGTCCATACATGCCTACACGAAGCTGTAAGCCCTCTTGCTACTATTCGTTGAGTCTTGCAGCTGACAATCCCTAGGTACGTTGTTTATGGGAGAAAGCCCAGTCCAAAGCATACCGCCTAATTGGCATTAACCGCGGGGGTGGTTCCGCTTGTCGACGAAGTTGTTCCTGTTCTTAGCTCGATAGTCTAAAAGTCTTCGATATTAAAACATTCGAAACGTCGGATCTACTATGAAATGTAGTGATCTGTTCAGCCGCCTGCAATCCCGCCATTTCCAGCGTTCCTGGAAGCAAAACTATAGGACATCTTTGAGCTGGACCTATTATCAGTGCTTCTTTGTTTCCGTTCTCGTCAGAACTAATGAGAAGTGGGAGATTGTCCCATATAACTGAGGATGTGGCCTTTCCAGGTAGGAAATGATCATACATGGCCATAAGTAGATCAAGGATCATAGCAATAGCGGGAGATAAGAACTTGATTCCTTTCTCTGTTGGCGATGTTTTGAACTCGCTGCTGGTTAATATGTAAGTTTGCGATGAAACAAAGGTGCTGCAGCTGAGCCAAGATTGATTGTAATTTGGAAGCGTCGTTCAGTAGAATGACATGCCGTGGCAATAGCCGACTAAACTAAATCGAACTCCCACCGTTGCTCGAACCCAACAGTAAGCGTATTATGCATGGTTTTCCTACAGGTCCATCTACGGCCGGTGGTTGGTGAGGTTAAAGTACTGTCACTGGGACTGGTCCGCCGGGAACCGAGGCTTGGCAAGTTTCTGGCGATATCGCCAAAATACACAGGGAAGTGCTAACAAACTTTATACCACGACACCGTGCCTTGCTGTCCTCTCATCGTCCTCTCAACCAACTCAAGGGATGTTTGGTACCAGGGTCCTCTATTGAAAGCCACTTCTCACCATGGACCCTCACTCGGCTGGGCGGAAGACAATCCGATTGCACGATGAACAAGTCGAAGAATTCGAAGACGAAATGGGCCGCCGTGATCAACAAATAACACGAGCGGTCGTCATCCCACCAAGACCGAAGCAAGGTCACACTGCGGAAGACACTCTCAACAAAGCGAGGAAAGAGCTGGAGCTCTTGCAGGAGTTTTTTGGTCGAGACCATAGTGGAGCAATACTTGCCTTGCAATACGGTTCTGGCGAGGACGTGAGAACTGCAAGCCTCTCCTTGAATTTGCAAGGCGGCATGGCCGTTCTGCTACTCCGTCTACTTTGCGTCAGACACTTGACGCTCGATTATGCGAATACGTCATCAAGTTATGAGCAAATTCCCGCCAAAAGGCGAAGACATGGCTCGACCGAGAAATTCATTGAAGAGAGGGGACTTCCAGAAAGCCAGACTAAAAGGGCTTTGAAGGTCGGTCAGAAGTTCTTGGATATTGAGCGGAATACTGGTATCCCGGGGATCTCAGCGGTGTTGATGACGGCTTGGTACATGTTTGAACATCTTTATTCTGATGAGATAGAGAGACTGGTCAAACTCTTGCTAGCTGGCGCCTATCCCGACCTTTTTGAGATCGCTCAATGGCTGTCCGATTTCCTTTCCATTTATCAGCGTTTTTACAGCCGTCTTGTTACCCGGGAAATCCAGAAAGATACATCGGCAATCCAATGACTAGACCTAACATGTTTATTCCCACCATGCTCACCAGGACTCGCTGTGGATATTGGTAAGAGGAATATACTATATAGCGAACGATGTGCGACACGTTCATACCCTATTCCACCGGTCAGGGGTCGTGAAATCCAGCGTATCATCCAATAAAACATCTTCGCCCATAGGCAGCGCTGAAAAGCCATCCCACACTAGCGTCTCATCTCCAGAAGACACAATTTCAACGCAGACTCCCCCAAGAACACAGAGCAACTGATGTTCCTCTAGATCAACCGTGGCTGCCGGCCTGGTATTTGGCTGAATTTCACTCTTCGACAGGCCATATGGGTAAATCTTGAATTTGACCTTGCCCTGCCCCGGAGTCCGTTTCAAGACTTTGAAAACCGACACCGCCCGGTCCGACTTCGGATGTACCCGCCCGAGCTGCGACCGGACGAGGCGAACAATTCGCGGCCCTTGTTGGACCTTGTATTTGTATGCGACTCGGGTGCCTTTTTGAACTATATCGACCATCTAAAGAATTAGTTAAGTCTATTCACAGTAATGTGGTGCGAAACTTACATTTACCCCATGGCTGAGAAATTTATCACACTCGATGTTTCCACCGATGGATATGGAGAAAACCTGATCAGAAGGAGCCAAGTCATAAATTGCTTTTCCAGCAGATATCACAGCATTGATCAACTCCTCCGGGGGCCGGCCGTCGCAGTCGACAACGTCGTATCCCAGAACGTCCATTCCGTAGGTGCTGGCATTCGAGCCGCTTGAACCCACGGTTGAGGTAAGGTCCATGTTGATGGCTGATGTAATCACGGACTAGCCAATGAAGACAGAGGAGACAAGAGAAGATAGTGAAGTGAGCAGAACACAACCTTGGAGACATCAAGGCAGCCTCATGCTTATATACTGCTTATCCTAAGTAATAGGATGTCTCTGGGCTCGCAGACCACAATACAGCCGGTAGTTCCATCTGTACCCATGCAGCCTGGTTTGATAAGAGACACAAAGTTGAGCAAGAAATGTACCAAAATTGACAATCTCCTCCATCCCAACAGACGAAATACCTCCAGTTCTTCGTCTAGGTGACGGGTTGGATGTAATAATACCCTCAATAGATTATTCTTCGTTCCGAACTGTTGACATCGGCGGCTCCCCGCCAGACATCCACATACCTCGACTTTCTCCATCTCAACCTTGTCCAAAAAGAGTTACAATGGCAAGCCCCTTGGTTGTTCCTCAGTACGAAACAATGTGCGCGAGCCTGAAAGATGTAAGCAGTAAACCGAGGAGTTTGTGTTCGAGACCTGGAATAGAGGTCCCATGTGGCCCACCCTACTTATAACTCTGCCGGCGGAAATCCATCGCAGTTCACCGATATCATATCTTAGGAACTCCATCGCGTTAGGACGAACTTCTACAGTTAATGGATGCTTCGCATCGATGTATATACACTATGCGAGGTCATGCATATGATCCTGACGTAGACATCCGAAGCTACTGCAAATTCTGATATGCTATCCAAAATGAGGCGAATGAAAAAATTACGAGGCTTGAAGTACCCTCTCATTTTAGTTGTTCGATGTTGCCTTGCCCAGTCTTCACACTTGAAGGGGGTAATCCATCCTTCCTCCACTTCAGGAGCACCTACTAGGAATAGCCACTGTATTTGGCATTTTTAATGTTGTCAATTGTCTGCTGATCTGATGGACTTGACCCAGATTTTTCTTCAAGCTGTTAGAACTGAAAGTAAATGTAGACTGGTAACTTACAAAGTTATGTTTTTGTTAGTTGGTACAGCTTCTCCCAATCTTTCCCACTCTAGCACTGAAAATTAACAATGTCAGAGGTGTGAAGCTAATCATCATTGTTCCAGCCCAGTGATGGCTTAGCCACTGAGGTATTCGAGAGGTAGTGATAATGTGACCAATGGTCCGGTGAAGTATGATATGCTATGAGAGTTAGCCTAGGAATTTTAATTGTCAAGAACAGTACATACATGCTCAATTAAAAGCAGCATCTCAGAACTATTAACTGCAAAGCCTAATCTGCGTCCATAATGTAGGCAATTCATGCATCTATGAGCTGAAGCCGAAGCATGCTGAGTCCGATCTCTCTACCCCTGTGTTTGTAACATAGCTAGTCCAAAAGGAGTAATTTTTTCTTCGTGCACGAAAGGGTCATTACCTCTTTTTATTCTAGTGTCATGCAACCAAGCCTGTACTAACGTAAGCCAACCCCACTGATCTCTCGGCCTTTGCTGTCCGCCCGGGCGTGATTTCGGCTTGGCAATAAGTTGCTGGGATGCTCTTCGGCTAGCTCCAGATTGGGCCCCCTTGTATGTACTATGGACTAGTTCCTTTCCATCCATGCAACATTAACACTATTGCTAATTGGGGCATAATGGCTTCGCCAGTGCATGGACCTCATGCAAACTTTTTGTCAGGCACTGTACAGAGTAGTTACGCTTACTCAACCAATTAACTAGGTCAAGTCTTACTGCAGTTCTCCATGACACGAGATGGCAAAGTACATCTACAAGATCAAGGTAATGAGTTATTTCTCCTGACGTGTTGGCTGAATCATGATAGGTCGGTTGTCCAAGTGATCCTTGTAAAGGTGAGGATTCCACAGCAGCAAAGCTGACATGTAAAGGCGATTTCCTTGCCAATAGAAACTACGCATTATCAGGGGGATGAAACTTACTTGTCGCAAATCAAGTTGGCAGTGTTGGTCCTGAATGATTCATAACACTTAGCAGGTGCGGCGGCGTTTAAACAATTGCGTTTATAGGACAGACACAAGAAGGCAACTGTTCTGTTTGCACCTGCAATTTTGGACAAGGATTGAGAGAGTCATAATTCCGTAGCCGAAACGTGGAAAGATGTCGAGGCATCTTCATCTATACTTTCTGTGCTTTGAGCCTGAATTCGACTCAATCGCCTGCTAGAAGTGGCGCAGGAAATTCGATCCCACAAGAGAATTATCGAGGCAACCCGGTTCCTTGCTCCTCTTTCTCCTCCCTAGCCTAGTCTCTTGTATTTATGACCGCTCCCTAGTAATACGAAGGCTTCTACTATTGGATTTGGGTCCGTCACAATTTCGTTTTATGTATTCTGATGAGCAGGTTGTGTTAAAACGAAGCTCTTCCAACACGCTGGGA